CTACTAGGGCATGCTCAAAAAGCTTTACATTTCCTTGAACATATTTCCGGCGCAACAGCCTTTCTGTACTAGTGCTACAGTACAGCAGCTAGCAATTGCACTTAGAAGTTAGCAGTAATTAAATCGCACTGTAGATGGACCCAGTTTCCATACCAAATGATCGAAGAAATTTGGTAGTTGCCTGCAATTCTCATGGCCAGTTTTTATGAAAATATACTGTTTTCTTATTTAAACTGGAGTAATATGGGAAATATCACACAAAACTAAATGGTGGATCTTATTATCCGACAGTAAAACGGGAAGATTTAATAAAGTTATCACAAACTAAGGTATAACAATTTATTAAGTAATTTAACAAAAATGCAATATACATTAGTGGAATTCAGTGTTGTAGCTTAAATGTTTATTTTTTTCTTGAACATTGTATCAACTAGATGTCGCCCTTGGTTGCTTACACATTCTCGGAGTCTGTCGTTGCAAAACGAACCTATAACTCTACGTCGCATATCCAATGGAATATTGTCGATCTCTTGATGAATTCGGGGCTTCAAGTCTTCCTTATTTCTTGGTGGGTTTATCTGGAAGACCTTTGATTTTAAATACTCCCAGAGGAAATATTCAGGAGCGGTCAAGTCCGGAGAACGGACAGGCCAAGGAATATCGCCGTTCCTGCTAATGAGGCGACCAGAAAATGCACGCCTCAGCAAATCTATTGAAATATTGGCCGTATGGCTAGTGGCGCGGTCCTACTGCAATAATGTGTTTTCAGTGTTTTCACACACTGATGAAGTGCAGGGTAGGGCAAAACCTACCAACATAGCGGCGTAGCGTTCGGCCACACTTCACCATTGTCACCTTCAAAAAAATATGGACCGATTATGCCTTGAGAGCAGATTGCATACCAGACAGTCACTTTTTCCTAATGTAAAGGTTTTTCGTAGAGATTGCGTGGGTTATTATCACTCCAGTACCGGAAATTCTGTTTGTTACCGAACCCACAGAGTTGGAAGTGGGCTTCGTCACTCATCCACAGGTTGTGGACTTGACCGCTCCTGACTATGGGGTTATTTGAAATCAAAGCTTTTCCATATGAACCCACCAAGAAACAAGGAAGATTTGAAGGCCCAAATTTGTCAAGAGATTGGCAATATTCCATTGGAAATGCCTCGTAGAGTTATGGGTTCGTTCTGCAACAATTTTCAAGAAAAAATAAACATTTAAGCCACGGCACTAAATTCTACTAATGTATATTGCATTTTTGTTAAATTATTAATAAATTGTTATACCTTCTGGTTTGTGATAACTTCTTTAAATCTTCCCGTTTCTCTGCCGGACCCTGTAGAATTCTAAAATAACGTTTTATTAACCATCAAATGAGACGTTCGTGAAAATGGTTTTTCTTGATGAAATTTTGTTGTAAGATAAAAAAATAAGCATTCTTTTCTGTAATAAATTTGGTATATTTTCCATCTTATTACATTTTGTATAGTAATAACACTAAGATATATACAAAAGTTTATACAATTATAGACACAACTGTCTAAAGTACATTTTTATATAGAGTAACTCAAAAAACACTTATTGAAGCACACGTTAATATTAACTTTGATAAATATTTTCTCTTATCAGTATGAATGCAACTCAAATTCCATGAATTTTATTCAACAATAATTAGTTGACGACTTTTTATTATACCATGATAACCGTTAAAGAAATAAGGAAAATGCTGGGTGATTCAGAAAATGGTAGCAGTATCTGCCAGGCAGAGAGTAGGTTTAAAAATAACAGAGATATTAAAATGCTTCCTTAGGGAGATTCAGGGTGCTGAAGTTATAATTTCTAAATTGAGGAAAAATATATCTCCAGAGCGGATGAAGGGTCCAACCCGTCATGTTGTGTTTGTAAACAAATGGCGTATGAACGGGGATATCATTAACCAAAAGAAGGAAAAGAGAAATATTTTATACGCCATTGATTTTTTTAAAAAGCATGGCTTTTTTTAATGTAATATTTAATTTCACATTAATAGACTATCTTGAGAAATGTCTGTCAAACTATTCATTGGTTTGAATTCTTTAACGTAAATTGCATAAAAAACTTAAACCAATTTCCTTAATCAGCCTCATCACTAAAGTAAAATTTTACAAGACTGTATATTGGTAATGGTACATTTTAGGATCTATAGAAACTGTTATTTTTGAATGTACTTTCTGTTCTAGACATATTGCTATTATTTTTTTAAACACTCTGTATAGGTACATAATTAGTATCACAATAATAACTTTTAAGAACACCGTAGATACTTCTTCACAAATGTCTTTTATCAAAATTGTAGTATGTTCATAATAATCAATAGCAACATCCAATACTCGACAAATTCATGGTTCCAACCTCTGGAACACCTCGGTCTCAATGCTTTAATGATGGGCTATAACAAAACATGTAGTCCTACGCCAAAACCATAATAATGTAGTGCTATTGAAAATAATTGGTTTTCTGATAATAATTATGTACCATTTACCTTGTATAAGCGCATACAATTTTAAGATTTGACACTAATAGTGCATAATTGTGAGGACACACTTTCATGAGCTTGATCAATTTATACCATGTCTCATGGTACTAAAAAAAGAAAGTAAATAGGTTCCCAAAAGTCGCTCATGCTTTGTTCTATTGTAAGATTTTAAATTTTTTGTAATGGACTTCTTTACAGTAGGTTCACTGTCCTAACAATATATTCGATATTATACAAAGTGACATTCAAAAAATTATTATGTTCTTGTAATTCGGTTTTTTAATATTTCATTCAATTAGAGTGCCTTTCTAAATATCACATGTCTGTATCCAAATACCAATCCGCTTGTTACTAGTGGATATAGATGACAAACTTAGAATCAAGTGACTTATCATGGTCCAGAATAAGGAAAAGATATTTGATATAACTTTTTGCTTGTCATTAACAGAACATGTACCTTTTTGTTTTTATGAACACTTTGCATAACACGAATTATACAGGGTGTTTCGGTTTATTGTTGCATAACTTTAAGATTCGATAGAACTTTTAAAATTAATGCATAAAGTCTATATAAACATGGGTCGAAAAATGCGTGGCTTCGAAATACAGGGTGTTTAAATTTACTTTCTAAAATAGTTTTTTTTTTTTAAATATTTCGAACAATATTTGATGTATAACAGTGAAAATTGGTATACAAGGGTTTTTTGGTACGACAAAACTAACCATGGGCATAGTTTTACTGTAGCCGCTAGAGGGCGCTCTCTACTGTACCTGTAGTGTATTAAAATGACCGACAAAATTTTCTTAGTGCAATTTTTTGCTTTTTGAATAAAAAAACTGATTCTTCGCACTTTTCAACATAAAAAAGCTCTCTTGTGAATTTTCATTATAGTTAGCCGTTTTTGAAATATTTCGATGTTTAGGGTTCGATGCAATTTTAACTATTTATCATAAAATAACGTTAAAAAGACAGTATCTCGATAATTTTTAGAAGTAGGCTGTGCCTGCAAATATTTTTGAAATTGAAAGCAGAATACGGTTAAACGTCAATTAGTTGACAGTTAGTTTTGTTGTCTGTTGAAACCTGAAACGTTTTTTTGCAATTGTGTATGCACGAAATTTAGTTTCTTTTACCTGTTTTTTTTTTTGTAAGTTCTATAAAAATGCCATTTTTATTCTCCAATCAAGAGTTAGCGGATATTCATTTTGTGTATGGCTTTGTAAATAGAAACGCAGCAGAAGCAGCCAGAGAATACGCACGAAGATTTCCAAACAGACGACAACCAACTCGCTCAGTATTTGTAAGAGTGCATCGCCAAATAATTGAAAATGGTTTTGGAAATCTCCAAAGGGATCAAAACATAAATGTTCGTCAGCGCAGATTTACCCGTATGATTCTGCGTGAGTTTGATAGGAGAGTTTCTGGTGCCTTGGGAATTTCAGCAAGCCATGTTCACCGTGTTCTTAGAAATGACCATTGACGTCCTTACCATTTGCAACCTGTACAAGGACTACAGCCAGGGGACGGAGAACGAAGAATCACATTTTGTCAGTGGATTCTTGATAGAACTGATAATAATAGGGAGTTTTCAAGTAACGTTTTATGGACCGATGAGTCATGCTTCACTAGACGTGGAGTGGTAAATTTTCATAATCAACATATTTGGTCGCATGAAAATCCGCATGCAGTTCAGGAAATAAATTTTCAGCATGAATTTAGTGTGAACGTGTGGATTGGTATCTACCGTAATCGACTATTAGGACCCTACCTTTTGACTGCAAGGTTAAATGCTGCGACCTTTTTGGAATTTTTAAAGGCTGAACATGCAAATATGTGGGATGATGTTATGTTAGATTTAAGAAGATTGGCCTGGTTCCAGCTTGATGGTTGTCCAGCTCATTATTCGAGAATAGTTAGAAACTGGCTGGACGAAAATTGTCCAGAAAGATGGATCGGCCGTGGAGGACCAGTCGCCTGGCCTCCACGATCCCCTGACCTAAATCCATTAGATTTCTTTGTGTGGGGATTCCTAAAAGAAAAAGTGTACCAGACTCCCGTAACCACAAGAGATATGCTAATAGACAGAATCAGGAATGCATGTGATGAAATAAGGCCTTATTTGAATAATGCTATACCACGTTCGATCATTCGTAGATGTGAATTGTGTATTGAACAATTGGGTTTACATTTCGAGCAACTATAGATTTTGTATGTCTGTCCTAACTATCCAACAGCATTTTAGTTGTAAATAATTAATTTAATTTGTTAAAAATAATATTGGAAAATTAAACAAATTAATGTTCTGTTTTTTGTGTTTATTTGGAGTTAGGAATTATTGCTGTGTTTAAAAACACAATCTAAACAATCATCTTAATTACTTGTAATGCCCAAATCGAAAATGTAAAAAAAAATATTATTTTCCCATAAATAATTAAAATGCATCGAACCTTAAAAATCGAAATATCTCTAAAACGGCTAACTATAACGAAAACTCACAAGAGAGCTTTTTTATGCATAAAAGTGCGAAGAATGAGTTTTTTTATTCAAAAAGCAAAAAATTGCACTAAGAAAAAATTTTCGGTCATTTTAATACGCTACAGGTACAGTAGAGAGCGCCCTCTAGCGGCTACAGTAAAACTATGCCCATGGTTCGTTTTCTCGTACCAAAAAACCCTTGTATACCAATTTTCACTGTTATACATCAAATATTGTTCGAAATATTTAAAAAAACTATTTTAGAAAGTAAATTTAAACACCCTGTATTTCGGAAGCCACGCATTTTTCAACCCATGTTCATATAGACTTTATGCATTGATTTTAAAAGCTCTATCGAATCTTAAAGTTATGCAACAATAAACTGAAACACCCTGTATATTGCCTAAATATCCACTGCAGGTAGAATAACCCAATACCACCAAGTACTTCAAAAGTACTACGTCTGACCAACACATAGGTTGTTTCACAATTTTTTAAATGACAATATGTTCAGTCATAGTTAAATGAACTGACTATTGACTTAGATCGAAGCATTGCAAAACATAGATTATACAGACAATTGAGAACCAAAGTGATACTTTTGAAACATGATACTTGTCTAAAAGTCGCTGTTTATTTTGGGAAAATAAATTACATCTTGCTAGAGAGTGAACATAACAAACAACAGTAATAAAATTTTCAACAATAATTAACTATACTTTAACAAAATCGAGTTATCAAAAATCAATATAGAATTAGTGTTAAGATGGTAAAGGCATGCAACTTTTGTATACACAAAATAATGTTTTATAGCAATGACAAAGTCATCACTACAACAATGTGTCAATATACAGGTCAGATGTGAATGATTTTTCCGGAGTGGACAGGATTCTCTCATACATGGTAAGTAGCTTAAAATAGAAATAGTACAAATAAACATGCATTTCATACATCTATGGTTCTTACTGAATTGGTATCCCATATGCAAAAGCCAGAGCATCGCAGCTGCTACGAGCAGCTCAAAGAAACTTTAATTTGATTTTTGAACTACCTAGGTTAGTAGAACTGGGGAAAAGCCTGCTCCTCTGTAAATTGTTCCACAATCTCGATACCCTAGGGACAAAGGAGCGGTCGTATCGACTAGTTCTGTATGTACTAACACGGTTAGTGCCAGGAAAAAGTTAGGCGGGTCTGACTGACAGGCACATCGCGAGGCGGCATTATGGAGGAGACCTCTGAGGAGCAAAGCCCACTGGCATAGCGGTAGAAGAGAGCTAGATCGCCGATGGCCCGCCGGTGCGAAAGGTTCCCGAGAAGAGTCATCGATCAGTCGGACAGCTCTCCTCTGAACTTCATCAAGCATGGATAATGTAGTTGGGTCGGCAGCACTCCAAACATGACAAATTAACGAGATGCGTTCGTGCAAGATCAAGTCCTCGGTGATTTGGACTCCGACCAGCCGAAATGAACGGCTCTATGGTAGAACCCGGCCATCCATTGAAACCAAACGAGCGCTAGGACGCTTTTTCTTCGTTAAGGTACAGTACTGTGTTTTGGAAGCATTAGAATGTACAATACTGTCGTATGCCCAAGCAGAGATAACCTCCAGATCTCTCGCCAGAGAGGAAGTCGCTGCTAGTCTTCTTTTCTCCAGCTCATCAGCAGAGGTTGGCTTTGTCACTTTGAATTCCTGCATGTAGAGTGCTATCATCAGCAAAGCTGTGTATTGGACTGATCGTACAGGAATGGAGGTCGTTGATATGTAAGAGGAACAGTGCTGGTGCCAGGATGGATCTCTGGGGAACACCCGCGTTGACGTTGTGGGATGAAGAGGAAGACCTGTCAATTATGACGGATATCTTGCAGCCAGAGAGAAAGTCAGCCAGCCATCTGCAAAGCTTCTCTAGGATGGAAGTTTGCATAAGAGGGCAGCGTGCCACAGCTGATCGAACGCATGATTACTAAGTTTTGCATATAGAAACATAGTAAGCCGCACGAATCGAACGTCAGTACTGAATATTAACCTCACTCTTTAGTAAACTTAAATTCAAAGTTCCACAACAATACAGTGTTCTCACTACAGTGAATTTTTGAGTGTCACGTCACCAAGTCATTAGAAAATTGGAACTCAACCGAGAACATTTTCGCGCCATAATTTATTACAACTTTCAGAGACAATTATCGCAACAAGATGGCCTTGCTGAGTTACTGTCTGTTTTGGGAAACGAAGCGCCACATCAGTCGACAATTTCCCGTTGGTATGGAGAATTCAAACGTGGACGGGTGAGTCTTAGCGACGATTTCAGCGTGGGTGCACCAAAAACGGCAGTCACCCAGGAAAACGTCGATGCTGTGCGCAATCTCATCATTGAAGATAGACATGTGACATATCTCGAGATTGAGGCGTCCTTGAAGATCTCAAAGACCTCAATTCAAAAAATTTTACATGAAGAATTAGGAGCAAGAAAATTAGTTTCTCGTTGGATACCCCACCTGTTGACTGAAGAGCACAAATCAGCCAGGGTTAATTGGTGTCAAAAAACGCTTGACCGTTTCAATTCCGGAAACTCAAAAAATGTGTACAGCATTGTTAGTGGTGATGAATCGTGGATTTCCTGTTATGAACCAGAAAATAAACGACAGTCGGCTGTTTGGGTGTTCCAAGGTGAAGAAAAGCCAATAAAAGTCATCCGTTCTCGAAGTATTTCGAAAAAGATGGCCGCGACATTTGTGTCAAAAGCGGGTCACACTGCAACAATTCGTCTTAATGAGCAAAGAACTGCTACTGCAGATTGGTATATCACCATTTGTTTGCCAAAAGTCATCACCGAGCTTCGAAAAATCAACCCCTCCATCAAGAGAATGCAAGCTCGCACACAGCCCAAAAAACAAGGCAGTATTTAACGGAAGAAAACGTGGAATTATTGGACCATCCTCCATATAGTAACCGATCTAAGTCCTAACGTTTTTTTTTTACTTTTCCGAAAATCAAAAACGCAGTTAACGCATTCAAAAATGCCGGTTTGGATCTGCCAGCAAACGAGTGGAATAGGTGCTTCGACAATTGGTTCGAACGCATGCAGATGTGTATTAATCTTCGTGGAGAATACTTCGACAAACAATAGTCATTTAAAATTACCTACCGTGTTGTTTTATTTCCATATGCAAAACTTAAAAGACATCCCTCGTAACATGTATATACCAGAAAATAAACTCTGAACAACTTTTACATTTCACCATGTATGAACAAAATCTGAAGACACTGGGGTGAGAAGACGCAATCATGAATATCTTTCAATATATAATGTGATTGTTTTGTCTATCGCGTTTATTCTTATCCAGAATGAAATATGCGTATATTAGCAGATGAAGTTTCAAACATTTTAGGTGCTTCAACAGCTTTTTTTCAAATTAGAAATTATATTAATAGCCAGATGAACATGACTAGATTTGGAAGGTAACAACTGAAATCAGCATACACGGTTATAAACAGATAAAGCTATCAATTACTCATCAGCTGTTCACCTCAATAGACTTGATAAAGTGTCTTGTCAAATTGGGTTACCTTCTATGAAATCTGTCTTTTTCTCATCTACTTTGGACAGTTTTACCTCCAATCAGATCCAGCTTAGCGGGAGTAAAATTGGACATTGCAATTTTGGATCCAAAAATGCTACATTCAGAGTACCTGGTGAATGGGGTATTACCAAAAAAGTCTGCATATGATTATATTTGTTTGTAAAACCTATTTATTGAATATTTTGGCTGTATGAGCGGGTGTCAAAAAAATTCCTTCCAAAGTTCAAACAAAACTTCACACCAGTTTTAGCACGACGTCAAAAGTTGTGTTTCAATACGCAAACAGAAAAATGGGGATGAAATGTATTGATCTTCAAATAACCTATATTGGCTATTAAAAATGCATTTTTTATCAAGCGATCGAAATACTCAATTCAAATTGAAATGATGCATTGACAAAATTGAAAATTAAGAGGCAAGTGGAACCGTAATCTGTATCATTACTATTTTTACAGTTAAGCAGCCCCGCAGGCAGAAGCCTAAATGCCAGGGAAGCGCGGCTGCTATGAGGATCCCAAAGAGACTTTGTTTATCAAATTTTTGAACTGCCCAAGCTTAGTGGAACTGGGAAAGCCTCCTCTTGTAGATTGTTCCACAATCTCGAATACCCTAGCGACAGAGCAGCGGTCGTACCGACCAGTTCTGGATGTACAAAGTTCGACTCGGTTAAGATGGGAGGCCGAAATCAGGCCAGTCTGTCTGGCAGGCACTTCGCGCGGCGACATTATGGAGGAGAGCTCCTAGGAGCAAAACCCATTGGCAAAGCCGTGGAAGGGTTAAATCGCCGACGGTCCGCCAGTGCGAAAGGGTCCTGAGACTTTCCTTTAGAAAAGAGGGTTAGATCAGTCGAACAGCCCTCCTCTGCACAGCCTCGAGCATGGATAATGGCGTAGTCGGGGTGGCAGTACCCCAAACATGTGAGCAATACTCAAGGCTGCTAGGTCATATCTGGGCCTTGTACAGAGTGAGGAGGTGCGTTGTATATGTGTCTCAGATCAAGTCTTCGATGATATGGACTGCGACCAGCCGAAATGGATGGCTCTTTGGTAGAACTCGGCCATCCATCGAAGCTTAATGAGCGCTAGGATGCTTTTTATTCGTCAAGGTACAGTATTGTGTTTTGGAACCATTAAACCGTACGAGATTGTTTGCGTCCCCAAGCAGTGATAACCTCCAGGTCTCTCGTTAGAGAGAAAGTCGCTGCTAGTCTTCTTTTCTCCAGCTCACCAGCAGAAATCTACTTGACACTCTGAATTCCTGCATGTACAGAGTGCTGTCATCAGCAAAGCTGAGGATTGGGTTGATCATACAGATAATTTTGGAAGTATATTGATTAGATTGTTGCCTGGAGCTCTTCAAATTCGGTCACAGTTTACAGGAGATAACAGTAATTCAATCTATAAGGACAGATTTCAGATGGACCCTGGAATCACCAACAGTGCCAATGTAGTTTTTTGTCTACCTAGCTAAGTAGATAGAATGTGTATATCTTTGATAACACCTGCTAAGGCAACATAAATGTTAGATTCTTTTGATATGATTTCATATCTTGCCAGTTTAAGCACAGCGGATTATTAGTGGAATACACAACTCAGATTTAGAGTCTCTCACTAGAATGTTTCAGACCTGACCTGTCTCACTCATAACCTAACAATTACTACCTCCTATTAACCCCATCGAAAATATACTACCAAAACTGTACTCATCTCAGCCACAGCTTCAACCTGAGGGCGTCAACTCCATTCAGGTAGTACCTGAACAACCGTTTGTCCCTGACGAAGCCCAGCTTTTCATAAAGCATCAATGCTGGCTTGTTGGTGACTTCTGTTTCCAGTACCACTTCGTCCGCATCACCCGTGATCATCTCCGTGATGGCCAGTTGTACCAGGTTGGAACCAATGCCGCAGTTGCGGTACTTCTCGTCGACTGCCAGCATTGCGATGTAGCCGCGCCTCACCACTTTGCGATGGATGTCCAGCTTGCAGACGATGGCGCCCACACACTCGGATTCGTGCATTGCCTAAAGCAAAACATTTAGAGATTTTCACTTGTTTTGTTGTTTAGCAATAAAAATGTTTTAAAGTGCAAGAATAGAACATTTAGTGATCACAAAGTTATGTAATGATGTTCAAATGTAGATCAGGAAAAACACAGCGAATGTCATCTTGGAAATGATAAAGATACGGAGGCGACAGGTGACCTGACTGGAGACTGAAACACGAGACTAATGGCATAGTATCCACTTTCCATGCAAAAAATCTGTCACTGTCACATTCTCATTGTAAAGTATTCAAACTAAAATTTATAAAGTATGTTAATCGATAAACATGTGAATTATGACTCTTACTGGCGTTTCATACTCCCAGTATCATCAAAAGTTACCGACTCTTGAATTTCTGACCACATATCTTTAGAATTTCATTGTCAAAAAGATATCCTACCATACAAAACTAGATTAAATCCAATAACAAAGACGCAGACGCGCTAATTTCACTCAACTTTCCGAGTTTGAAAGCGGTCGGATAATCGGGTTACGTGAAGCCGGATTTTCTTTTAGAAAAATCGCTAATCGGGTGAATCGAAACGAAGCTACTGTAAAAATATATTGTCGAGCATGGTTCCAAGAAGGCCGAAATCGACTAGAGGTACTGGATGTAAAAGATAGACAACAGAGCGACAAATCCTTATTTGAGGCAACTAACTAAAAAAACTAAAAGTCTTGGCACAAAATTCATTGGCTTTAATTTTAATAAACACAGAATATCAAGTTGAATTTAGTAGCAAAAGTTTTTTTACTTACTTTACTGTCAGTTGACATTTATTTGATCGCTCTAAGATCTAGTATAAATTAGAAATAAGAAAAAGTATCTACAAGTTGGTCTGTCGAATATTCCAGGATGAAAAAATTTCTCGCAGAACCATTTATTGAACAATAACGGAGTGCGAGCAGGGAATATTATGTCTGTATCTCCCAGAAGGTGGATGACCACGGGCAATTATTGCACAGAGGTCAGAGAGATTGGTGAGAAGGGTCAAAAAATCAGGTTGGAATGTCAACAAGGAGACTGGCTCGTCAATACAGATCTCTTAAGAGTACGATCTCGTTGAAATTGTGGAGAAATGGTCTTAAATATCGAAAAAGATTTAAATGACCCAGATATTCTCAAGCGCAACTCCTTCGTTTACCAATATGATGTCGAAAAATTGACGCGGGTACATTTTGCCATTGGAAAAACCATTATTTTAGATGACAAAAAGTATTTCACTTTGATTAATTCTGAGATGAAGGGAAACGACGGATTTTATAGGGACAACGAAAAGGAATGCTCTGACAATGTTAGATACAAATTTTCAGATAAAATCTTTGTCTGTTGCGGAATTTCTAACAGCGGTGTATCGCGACATTTTGTGGGAAGAGTGAGGGGTAAGGCTTTGAATGGTCAGAGCTATACTGATAACTACCTTTCCAAATTGCTAACGACTATATCATGTTTTGGCCAGACTTAGCATCATGCCATTACTCAAGAGATTCCCAAAACTGGCTTCGACAAAATACATTTTGTTCCCAAAAACGATAATCCTCCAAACTTGCTGCAGCCTCGAAAAAAAAAGGATTTTTGGGCTTTACTGTCTAGGAAGGTGTATCATGGAGGCTGGGAAGCCCTAGATGAAGAACCATTAAGACGACGAATTTATAAAAACTAAGAGAAATTGAAAATAAATTTCTTCATTAAAAAAATCCGATAAATATTTTGTGCCAAAACTTTTAGGACATACGTTAGCACTTAGAGATCAATTGTCCATAAGGGTAGTTGAGAACCACTGGTTTGATGCTGTCGGAAGGGCATCAACAATGAGGGGAGTGTATGGCCGACTAAGGTCTTTTGAACTGTTTTCACACCGTGCCCATCTTGTACTAACTCTCACCCCACAGCATCGTCTGCAACGATTGGTATAGAGTAGGGAGAGACTTGAATGGAATATGGAATGGAACTCAGGCATGTTCAGTGATAAGTCCAGATTCTGTTTGGACACACATGATGGCCGTGCAAGAGTAAGGAAGAGAGGTAGTGAATGACGGAACGTCCAATATTCCATCGAACGGCATATTCATCGCACTGTGGGTGTTTTGGTAGAGGGTGCCATTGCTTACGGCAGCAGGTCACGATTGGTGTTCATTTGAGGTAGCATGACTGCCCAGCGCTATATCCACGAAGTTTTACAACAACATCTGCTTCCCTTTTTGGAAACTTTGCAAGATCCGCTTTTTCAGCATGACAATGCACGACCTCATGTCGCGCGTGCTAGTTTAAACTTTTTAGAAGCGTCCGGAAAAAATCTGCTTCAGTAGCCTCCTCGATCTCCAGAGCTTTCCTCCATCAAACACCTCCTAGTTGGTGTTGCATTTTTTATGTCATTTAGTACATTTGCCATAAATATTTCTTCATCCTTATATTTTATGCGTATTTTAAATCTAACTAGTTTTCCCTTTTTGACTTGTGTAAATGCTATTGCATATACAACACCAATAAATATTATTATTATTATTTCTCTGTGATGGTGACGGATTTTCTGTATGAGTACTATACCACAAGCTTCGCTACTCCATACTTCTCAGTGCTTTTAACATAATATATGCATGCAAGTTGAAACGCGAGGCAGCGCTAAGAGATTGTGCATACATAATCAAGTTTTGGGTACATTGTGCATTGTAGGAAATCTGTGACTGTTGCTGTGAAATGTTGAGATTTAGATCTCAGAATGTACCTTATAGGGCTGATTTTCTTCGTATAATTATAGAAATACATTGTTTTATTCCCAGTCTACGGCAAGCCCGAAACGGGGGATAAGCCAAGTCATAATAGTTATCAGAAAAATATAAAAAAATATGTACTTAAAAAAAATCGGAAAAATCTACACCCTGTAATGATCTCTTAGTTCCGGTTACTATGAATTTTGATTTTTTCTTAGATAGAGATGGACATAGTGACAGCAAGACGGATAGTAACGCCACTTTTATTAATTCGTGAACGTATTCATTAAATTCACAATAAATGTTCAAACGGCCTTCCGTTATTCTGCCCTGCAGCTAAGCTAAATTTACTATTGGCTTTGAGTAAACTTTTTCTTTCACCACTCCCCAGTAAAAAAATCGAATGGATTGAAGTCAGGTGAAATGGGCATGAAATTGTACCAGACCGTCCTATCCATCTGCTCGGATATTCCGCATCAAGATATTCTATAACTCAACAGGTATATTGCGGAGGGCAGCCGTCTTGCTGGCCTCTATAAATGTTCAGTTTCCAATAAATTTGGAAAATGATTTTGTAAAAAGTCTAAATAAATTTGGCCATTCAAGAACTCTGGCTGCTGGTACAGTGATTCTCCCACATGTTTACTTTAAAACGATACTGTAATCTATCTTGTCTCATCAAATGTCGATTTTCTACGTGCCACTCGTGTAAGTTGTGTAGATTCATGTAACCAACTTTTTTAAATGTAAACTCATCAGTACATAAAATTTTATTTAAAAATCTTAGATCTTCTCAGTGTCACTGTAAGATTGTTTGACAAAACTCAACTTTTCGAAGATAATACCATGGTTATAGAAATTGTACTCGCTGTACGCGGAGCTCGTTCTTTGCAAGATTTGGTGAGCTGTACTTTTGGGCATCCCTGTGCTTGCTTTTATTTGATATACTGAAGAACTTGGGTCTTCTTCGACTGCTTGTAGGGCGATGTCCTCGTAAGGAAACGAAATTATTCCTTGACCATGTACTTGTTATAGGAATCATCCCTCCGAGAGTAAATGGTGCACATTCACATAAACTCGGCGATTGGGATGACGACCACATTTGGACTAGCATTGTATTTACATTCCCCATAAATGAGGTGCATGTTAGCATAATCCATGAATTAATAAAAGTGACATTACTATCTGTCTTGATGTAACTAAGTAGAACGACACTTTCCATCACTCTTTCTAAAAAAGATTGAAATTTGTAGTAATGGAACTAAAAAATCATGACAGGACGTAGATTTTTCCGATTTTTTTAAAGGCTATACATAATTTGAAAAGTATACGAATTAGGTTTTTTTTATATTTTTCTAATAACTATTATGACTTGGCCTATCTAGCACTTATGACTTAACATTGACTTCTGACACACCCTGTATATGTTGAATAGCACTGACAACTGACAATTTGAACTTTCTCAACAGTAATTAGTTGAAAGGAAACACTAGAGAGTAAACACACTTTTGCCCTGATCATGTGTTGCCTGCCACGTGTTGCTGTCGCCTGTCACTATCATGGCGCAAAATGGCACCATTAGAGTAACAGATTAGATTTTGCAATAAAAATAACTGGGCTGTATTTATAAAAAAAATAATTAGATAGCTTTCTGAAAACAAAGCATTACACTGAAGCTATGTAAATGTCATACAAAATTTAAAAACAGGCAATGGAGAAGTGATTTTATTTTTATAAGATCTATTAAAATAATTTCAAAACTATATGAAAACTAAATTTGAAATATTTATCAAATCACTTGAATTCAGTATAGACATACTATATTACTTGCGATCCAAAACTTGAGCTTTATGTCTGGACATTTTTTATTTATGTCCCCAATTGGAGATCATGCACATCAAGAATCTCATATCAAATCAATTGGTATTGCCAAAAACATAATAATGAGCGTTTTTTTCAATGTAGCTATAAATTGAATACCTTGTTTATAGGAAAAAAGAATTCTACTCACCAAGAAACAGAGCTTTGGCCAATTATGTATAAAATATCTATAAGTATAAATAGAATATGGCTCTGACAGGTCCTTTTGAATTATCTTCATGATCATAGGCATCTGAACCTCAGATTCATATTGTACAAAGTCGATTTTAGGCTTAGGTTTACTTTTAGCACTATCTTCTACAGGAGGATTACTGCTGTCACACAATTGTATGTTTTCCAAACTGCTTTCTATCCCTAAGATAACTGTACTACTTGAAGGCTGTACTGCCTCTGAGTTATGATTTATACTTGGCTTTATATCTTTATTACACAAATCATTGGTAGTTGGCTCTGTCAATTCTCCTAAAGAAAGTTTATTATCACATATAGTTGATGAAATGTTATCATTAGAATCCAAATTAACTTTGTTTTTCTTCTTTTTACTGGTTTTGCTAACTTCTAAATTTTCTACTGGGATACCATTACTCAGAGGGATCCTCTCTGCTACACTAGTGCTGCTTTGGTCTTGTGAGATGTCTGTCTTATGGTCATCTACATCTAGCTGATTCTCTGGGACTTTACAGTTGTCCTCAGGATGATGATCACCATTTATGTTAGGATGAGAATTTGGAAGTGTGTGCTTGTTTCGCCTGTTTTTCCTGCCACTTTTCTTCGCACTGCCAGTCTCTAGAGTTAGCCCATTAACCAATCCGTTTTTTGGCTGGCTTTTTTCTGGAACTCCTTCACTTAAGATGCATTTTTTTGGTAAGTCGTCAGTATTGTTTGGAAAAGAGCACTTATCAGGTTTATTTTTTTTGCTAATAGTCTTATTCATGTTTTGAACTCAATTTTAAAACATTACCTTGCTCTAGACTATCTTTTTGAATTATTGTGGAGCAAAATAAAAAATTCTTTCATGGGACATATTGATGTCTCATAATTTTTCTGAAGGTTGACAGAGATTTTTAGGTTATTTTGTAGTTTCACGAGCTGTCAAAAGGTGAAAACTGCGTTCTTCAAAAAGGTCACTACTAATCTCTAGTCCTTCAATAAATAACAGGTGAGTACTTTTTAATATTAGCTAACACCACGAACTTTGTGCAGGATAAAAATGTTTATATAACCAATTCAGGATTTCAAAAGTTAACCTTGTTTTTAAAAATAAATAAAATCATATGAAATGGAAAATCCCTAAAGGAAGACGACAAACGTCAGTGTCAATCTCAGAAATTAGCTGATAGAATCAAAAATCAAATTCAAGCGGATAACCAAATGGAAATGGTATTTACCATTTTGGGTTGGTATTTACCAATCCGTTCAAGCGAGTGTAGTTATCAGTTTGGTTATAAGATCCGTGACGTCACGAATCAGCTGTTATATGTCATAGTTATCACCGCAAAATTGTGGTATTTACCCAACTCAAGAGTAGTTTTATATTTCTGGTTATTATTTGAAATGTGACAAGTTAGAATTTTGCCGGGTATTGGATATTGTTATTGTACTTCAGCTTCATTTTTGAGAAAAATGATACAGGCTGACTTCAGTTTTACCATAAAGTGGAGCACCTTATTAGTTATACTCATTACGGTTTTTGGGGACACTTTAAATGTAGTTCCTATGCTTAACAAAGTATCATTTGTAGCCATATAGCACAAGGATATTAAAATATGGCCATATAAACTCACTAGATGATATCCACCTGTATACGGTTTTGCTAATTTCTTTTTTCATCATTTCTGCTGAATCATAAATGTTTTCTTTGACATGCGGAAAAATTTAGAGAATTGAAAGTTATCACAGCTACAAAGCCATGGTTCCATCATTAAAAAAAAATCTGAAAAAACATTTCTCCCATGAATATTAAGAAAGGTTTCTTATTTAAACTTTCCATATACAGTTGTAGACGAAAAAGCACCGATTATTAAGTGATAATAAAAATAATCAGAGATTATATACGCGCTTTTCTAAATAAACAACTTGCAACAAAACCGCGGTTAAAACCAACGCGTTCAAGCGATTCGTGTAACTGACGTCATCAACCCGTGTGTCATCTTGAACCATATTATAACCGCGGCACATAACACAGAAATTTTGGTTATTCGCTTGGATTTGATTAAAGATTATGATTCCTAGGTCAAAGCCAACGACGTTGGGTAAAGCACTAGACTGACCAATTAGGCCGCCATTTTCACCCCGAAAAGTTAAAATATGTTTTTATCTATATTATTGCATTGGCACATTGTTGAGGGAAAGCTCTAGCGAAAAATCTTACCGTCAGAATTCCCACGAACATAAATCGTGATTACATTGCTTTTCAAAATACTTTTAGAACGAGCTAATTTGGCAAAATGAAATTCGAGGTGATGAAATTATTTTTGGTTAGGGTAAAAGCGACAGTTGAAAATTTCAAGATAGCTGTGGGATCCCATATCTTTGACAATTTTTATAATAAAATGGAATATGGGCCACGTGGTGCCTCAATTTGAAGCTACTTACGCGTATTCTACAACCATACATGATTCAAAAATATAAAATTAAAAAGGGTGGATTGACAAGCTGTCGTAGTTGAGTTTTATGCATTAAATTGCCTGTAACTCAACAACCAATCACCAAAACGCTAAAGTATGCTTGAATCAAAATTTTTCGGCAAAGATCTATTCTAATGCGTCATAAAACGTGGGACAGTCCGTTTGAAAAACATTTTCAACATCTGACAACTTTTTAGATCGGAATGTGTCATATTTTAATGCATTTCAGATAACTTCTCCTAAAAGAAGGGGATCGATATAATATTCTACAACATTTCGATTAGTCGTTGAATTATAAACGATCCAATGTACAAAAACATTTAACTTTGACCGCCTGCCAGTTCGCCATTTTGGAAGATAGTAAATTTTTTATACTTTAGCGTTATTAAGTGCTCCACAAGCGGCTTCACAATTAAAAAAATGTACAATATATAACATACCAACCAGCATCTTGGAATTATCAACTGCCACTTCCACGCAAGAATATATTAGTCATGCACTGTATATTTGTGTGTAGTGTCCCTTTATAGATTTTGATTATCTTTCCAGATACATGCATGAATGCTGGGTTAAACGTGGGAAAACAAGACATTAAAATATTATACCCTATTATAATTGAAACACCGTTTTTGTTAGTCTGAATGTATTACTCTTACACTAATTTATTACAACACTTGCAACTTATTCATTATTATTATGGCTATCGCATTTCGCGCTGTTGCTGTCTCATCGTCAACTCTGCCATTCTGCACCTTAGCAACCTGCGGCTGTTGCTCTTCCAACCTCCAGTGGCATCCAAACTTCTCCTGGAAATAGGAAAGCTACGTTCCTTGAGGTGTTCAGGTCCTCGGCTACGCAGTATGCCAGTCTGTAGGTATTTCCGAAACAGCGAAAAACAAGTCCTCCCGTATTCCTCTGAATAAGCTACAAGGAACTCTGCCGCGAATACATTGTCTTTTGCTTGAAGGTGGTGGGCGCTTGCTTTCTCGTTACTTCGGCCAAACGGCTTCAGTCGGTTGTAGTATACGACCCTCGGCCTTCCCTTCGCACCTTTCCACATTCCGTAGACGACGTCGTTGATCCACTTCAGAACGTCGCAGCTTTGATGACAGGGGAAGGGTTATACAGCCACACCAGGTGAAGATAGCCACTATCTTCGGTACGGACGTTGCAGGAGTCCTTCATCGACACGGATATTACATATCTTAAAAAGTAACATTTCGTCGGTTCTTTTGACGTTTCGTAAGTTTTTTTGACATTTCGTAGGTTTTTCTACAACATGTTAACTTTGCACAAGCTGTTGTACACTTCTTTTAAACTCGTTTTGTAGCTGTACGTGTTGCTTGCACGTCTGCGAACAGCGATCATAGCAAGCAAACGCGGAATGAACCGCAATTTTATTTGATTGCGTAATCTCTCTTGGGTCCCGGTCTATACTTTCGCTGGGATCCGGCCCGTTAACTGCAGCCCGATATGTCATGAGGAACATGGGGAGATACCTGACCCGATTACGCTGGTCGCTGGACACTACCTTTGACATGTACTTTCCAATAGTCCGGTTCATCCTTTTCGCTAGCTCGTTCGATTGGGGTGCAGTGCCGTAGTTCTGGTCTTGCTGACGCCCAGGTTCTCACAGGCATTCTCAAATGTCCTACTCTGGTTTGAATGCAGTTCTAGAGGGACTCCAAATCTGGTGATCAGGTTGTCCTTTCCAAAGTGTCCGCCTGACGTTCCCTGGTGGAGCTGACGGATAAAGTCTAACATCCGGTTCCTTGGCACCACCAGTTGCAGCCTCCGCCGAGACTCATCTCACCACCACAGCTCGTTTTAGGACGCCATCTTCCAGCACCAAAGAGTTCCTCTGGGCCCAGTATGACGTGACGTCCTGAGACGGTGGGGCGACCTGGTCTTCAGGGTTATTCCCAGGCCACCAGGAATCATCCACTACAGTAGTCTTGCTGTCCTCTTTCCGAACCTACCAGTGATAGCACTCCGGTGGGCACGGTCTCCTGGACAAGGTGTCGGCGTTGCGATGGCTCATTCCATCATGATGCTCAATCTCGAAATAATACTCGGCGAGCCGCTCGATCCATCTCACCATCGGGATTTTTTGCAGAAGCCACTTCAGTGGCACATGGTCTGTCCGGATCAAGAACTTTCCCCCATACAGGTATTTGTAATAGTGCTACACTGCCTTAACCACAGCGAACAGACCTCATTTAGTGACCCAGTAGTTTCGTTCAGGTTTCTATAGGGCCTTACTCAAATACCTGATGATAAATTCCTGACACTTTTATGCCTCCTATTCACGTCATTAGATGCGTCTACAGATGCATCAGCGGACGTCGACTGATGCACCAGCAGATGAATCAGCACGAGCTGATTTATTTATTTAGGCCAGTATCGTCAGTCGTCCTTACAATTGTAGGGCGCGTTTATGGCATCCTTGATTGTCATACTCCTTTCTCTCCTTCAAAAATTTCTAGATTACACTTGTCCCGTGTCAGCGTCAGCGCTTTCCTATTGTGAATATGTTTTCTTTTTAAATTGTAGGAAATTTCAGGCTGATAAAACATGATATAACTCAAAAGCAAGCACAATTTGATGCAAATAGATGTTTGTGACATAACCTCAAAATAGAGTTCTGACACGGAGAAGTAGAAAACTATGGCCTCCTTGATTGTCATACTTCTTTCTCTCCCTCAAAAATTTCTAGATTACACTTGTCCCGTGTCAGCGTCAGCGCTCTCCTATTGTGAAGATTTGTTTTCCTTTTAAATTGTAGGAAATTTCAGGCTGATAAAATATGGTATAACTCAAAACCAAGCACAATTTGATGCAAATTGATCTTTGTGACATAACCTCAAAATAGAGCGCTGACACGGAGAAGTAGAAAACTATGACAATCAAGGAGGCCATAAAGGCGCCCTACAATTGTATTAACGACTGACGATACGCGCCTTGGTAGCTTTAACTACTACTTGAGTGTGCATCACAGCAGAGTGGTTAGAAAGAAATGAAAAATAACGTGGTGGATGCTGGCTATACATAGAAACCGAACAAGGTAATTGGAATAGAGTGTCTTCGATATAAATTTAAAGTTTCGTCAATGCTCATATCATTTGCATTTTAGCGAAGAAGATTGACGAAACAGGAATAAAACTACAAAAATCACGCGTACACTCTCCTTACACCTTAGACAGAACTGTCGCGTCGCAGACAGGCAGTCTTGCCAGATATTTCCTTAAGAGTGTAGCCAGCCTGAGTAAAAAAATAGCCAAAGTGTAGCCAACTTAACAGACAAAGCAGCCAAATTGTAGCGAATCCTTTGACAGTTGGCTACTGACATTTAGCCCATGGAATAGAGATCATCGATGATTGATAGGGAGTTATTAGGGAGATATTGCAAACATCTGCCTTATTAGTGCAGACCTTATTTTGACATCTACGCATGCGCACATACAATTCTGTATCTATGAGGAATTAATAGGGATAAGGCACGTCCTTATTTAAGCTATAATAGGGGGAGCTTATTTAGGCGTTCTTATGTCACGACGATTCACGATCTAAGCAAATCGGGTGTCGTCGCAAGCCTATTTAACCTATAAATTTGTACTCTCAAAATTCAACGATTGCTGAAGCGTTTTGGTAACTATGAATATGGATAAAAAGAGAATAAGGTTCACGTATGACGACGAAATGATTTTGCTGCGTGAATTTATTGCACAAAACCCTATCCGTTCTCCTGAGAAGTGGGACTCAATCTTACAGAACTTGCGAGAGCTTACGGGAAAAGAATTTATTTTGAGAACAATAAAAAAGCATCTGAACCATCTTCTGGAGCTGTTCCTCAAAAAGGAGGTTAACAGCAAAGTCAAGTAAGTATAAGATAGCACACTGTACCTACATGTATTTTAATAACAAGAGAATGCTTAATGTAAGACTTGGTGAAACAACATTTGTGTTTGACAGGTCTGGCATAGAAGAAGTCTATAATGAAAGAGAACATATGCTCCAAGAAGCCAGCGAGTTAATGAAAGAGACCTGCTCAACTACACCAGCAAAAAAGAAAAAAGTGGAAAACAAAGCGAAAGATATGATTGAAAAGACACGCAATGAAAGAGAGGCTATGGCACTGCTGGCCTTTTCTGATGTGGATGACACTTTAATCGACCATGATTACGGTAAAATAACTATTCTAAACATTTTTTATACATATTACTATATTATCACAGTTTTAGGTGTTTGTGTTACAGTCGACGTTGACACAGAAAATAATAATAAGTCTGTACAAGATGTTGGAACTGCAAAACAGATATCTGTACAAGATGTTGGAACTGCAAAACAGATATCTGTACAAGATGTTGGAACTGCAAAACAGATATCTGTACAAGATGTTGGAACTGCAAAACAGATATCTGTACAAGATGTTGGAACTGCAAAACAGATATCAGGTAAAACAATGATTAGAATTACTGCTTGAATCTTCAGTAATAGAAACACTAAAACAGATCCACAGGTTATGGAGTATGACCAGTAAATAAAACCAGTGCTCGATATAAAATGTGTAGGTACTTATGTTATATACTTTGATAAAAGCCAGTGCAATGACTAACCTGTCAGTGAACTTCTTTTGTTAGCACTGCGGTTTTATTTACAGGCCAGACTAACCAAATAGTGGATCCAGATGACTACAGCGTATATAGCATTGCCATGGCATCCCATTCAGAGGGCTACTACTAGATTAAGTAGTTTCTAGTATGTTATACATTACCTATAAAACAGAAAGCTCAAAACTACCTCTTACATTTCATGTTCAAGATTAAATACATTTGTTTATTGTTGCTGTTACTTACTTTTCGATCATTACAGCCCCCCGTACCAAAAGGATGAACAAAAGTAAAACATTGAGAAAAAATGGCCTTGATTACCTACGAGAAAAAGCGGAAATATCACGAGAAATAAGATCTGCAGAACTCAAGTTAGAAGAACAAAAAATGGATAATGAAAAAGAAAAAATTGCAAATGACAAAGCAAGACTTGCCTTGGAGTCTAAAAGGCTTGAGGCAGAAATTCAAGAAAAAAAACATAGGATAGAGTTAGAACAAAAGAAATCTGAGCAAGATGTCGCTGAAAGAAAAAACTTGAGTGACCTCATCAAAACACAACAAAAGCTTATTGAAGCATTACTGACAAAACTTGATAATAGATAATTTGCCATTAAAAAAATAATATACTGGCCTTATATTGAAATAATAATGTTGATGCTAAGGATGGTGAGCACAAACCAAGTTTGTTGCCGAAAATATATGAAATTGATTCTGCAACTGGTTCCATGTATGAACATAGTAAAACTGTGTAACTTCAGGATCAAACATATTTCATCCACAACTCCTGAAGAAGTTGATTTCATATATTTTCAGCAACATACTAATTTAGTTTTGAAATCTCTTATTGGGTGCTTGCTGCCCTTATGGTTGTAAAATAAATAAACATACATTCCAAACAAGCTTTATTGGTCTTACAAGTCTATAAAAAATTACAAATTATCATCAAGCGTTACAAGTTAGAAACAACCCAAAATTTAGATGTAAAAGATGGCTAGCGCCATCTAAATTTGCGCTAGAGATAGTTTCTTTGCAAGTTTCGTCAATGACGACGCAGGCAAAGCAGAAACCCCTTACGATTTCTGGTCGCTGACTCAGATGAATTGTACAGAGTACAGATACCCCGGTACCAACCAACAGTAGCCGGCCACCAGAGTCGTAACGCAAGGCGTTCACAGGACAAACTAACAATAGCATTTTCTGCAGAACATGCAATAATATAGTCTGATATACTCGTTTGCTTTCCATTGCAAAGAAACTAGTTCTAGCGAAATTTAGATGGCGCGAGCCATCTTTTACATTTACCGTCTTCCCGCTATTTGATAGACCACATTCGCTTGTTTACTTTCCATTTGTCCGCCTTCACGGCTGGACCTGATACAGACCTATACCATACTGATGAGGGCTAAAGAGCCCGAAACAGCGCTGTCTGCGGTTGGTCTTGGCTGCGGCG